CAAGATCCTTTTCCGCCTCTGTGCTGACAAGAGGGGAGTTCCCCAACCTGTAGGTATGGTGCTGGTTGTTCCTCCCCAGGTGCATCACTTTGCACTTGTCTGTGTTGAATCCCATCCTATTCTCATCCGCCCACCCTTGTAACCTGTCTAGGTCCGATTGTAGCCTGTTGCTTCCTTCTAGTGTGCCCACATCCCCCCACATCTTAGTGTCATCAGCAAATTTGAACAGGGTGCTTTTCACCCCCTCGTCCAAGTCACTGATGAAGATGTTGAACAGTGCGGGCCCACTCTCTGTTTTTTAGCAGAGAGTAGCATACAGCTATAAAGATGCTATAATATTTGTCACTTTTTTGCCTGTCACTCTTAAACTTTGTGCTACTTCCATTATTTTTTATAGAATCAGGAAATGAAGAAAAAGTTCCTGCTTAATTAAGAAGGATATGAACAAAATATACTTACCTCCAAACCGTTCCAACATATTCTGTACTTCACCCCTACAAAATATTTAGTGTTTTAGAAACTTTAAATATATTTTTGTATAAACTACCACAGAATATGAACAAATGCACAAGCTGAACTGACAGTTTTTTCCCCTCTACTTAAAAACAGTAACACTAAATGCTGCCACTGTTGTACAACACACAAGATTAAGTCCCTCTATGTTACCTCCTTGGCACTACCTAAAACACACAAAAATAGGAAAGCCAAAGAACAGGCTAAATGGAATGATTTTTTAATGACAGTATTTTGTTAACTCACATCCTAGGAGCAAGGAGGGAATATTTTTAAGGACCTGACTGTAAAAATGGTAAACTGATAAACAAGAATCTGTAAAACTATTTTATGTATGAGGATGGTGAGTAATAAGATAGAGGAAGAAAATAATCTATCATCAAGACTGGCAATGCTGGGGGACAGCCCTGGTCACAATAAAAGACAATGGGGCTTGTTTTGTGTAGTGCACTTAAAACAGAAAGATGATTAAACAGGTCTGTGTGGCAGTGGAGAGAGAGCAGAGGTTTAATAAGGCGCACCGCAGGTTCTGAGTCATTGTTAAGAAAGAGGTATTATCTCTCCTGAAGCCTGCCTTTCCCTTTCTGACAAAGAGAACTGGTCACAACTTCAATCTGTTAATTTTGACAGACTGACATCTTTCCCAAAACTACATTCTCAAGCATAACCTTCAGAAGGTTCTATTTACTTTATAAAGTTTACATATAAAAAAATGGAGCTTTTCAGGTAATAATGGAACACTTCAATTTGAAAGTGTTATAATTCTTAAGAAAAATAAGATTTGAGAAAGTAAATGATAAATGACATGGGGTGGAACTTGTAAAACACCATTGGGAGGAAACAAAACAATTTTGAGAAGCTGTTTTCCCCGCTACATTGTAGCTGTTAGTTATCACTCAAACAACTGGTGTTTCTCTATAAAACACATACGTATGTTTTTCTTTTTTGAACACACACTATCTGGTCTTCTATCGTTTGGACATTTTAACTGAATGGAATCTATGAGACCCAAAACTAGGCTTATCAAATTTCAGTAACTAGTACCTATGCAAAATTTTGTAACAAAAATTTAAGATTTTTAAGAAAATTACCCCACATCATCTTCAGTCACATTGTGAGGCATCACTGAAGGTCTTTTTTTCCCATGTTTATCAATTACTGGAGTCTCGCCTTTAAATATTTAAAAAACAAAAAACAGAGATCACATCAAATATTTTGCTGGAAAGTGGTTATATTTTTTTTCTGTAACTGTTTCTCCAAATAAATCACATGGAATCCACAATTTGTTTAGCATAAGACAGACTAAAACCGCCTCTACATCTTAGATTTTCCCCAAGTACCAGATTTGAATAGGCACACCATCGATTTCCTCTAGGCCCTTCTCAATCAGTTCTGTACTGAATGTTTGAGCCACGACAGCAAACCTTCTAGAAGAAAACTGACTGTATTCCCAAACTAGCAACAAAATAATCATTTCAAAGATGGAAATAATTTGACCTTAAAAAAATTAACCACTTAAAATAGAAATAAAAATTCTGGGTGAATTGTTGTATTATGAAATAGGGTCCTTAAGAAAGCAGAATTTTTGGTTAAGTAGCTATCCCTTCTTTAAGAAGATTTCATAGACATTAGGTCTGGAAGGGACCTTGGAAGATCATCGAGTCCAGCCCCCTGCCCGAGGGGCAGGAAGTCAGCTGGGGTCATAGGATCCCAGCAAGATAAGCATCCAAATTTCTCTTGAAGGCATTCAAAGTAGGTACTTGAACCACCTGCAGTGGCAGGCTATTCCAGAGCTTGGGGGCTCAGACAGTAAAGAAATTCTTCCTTATGTCCAGCCTGAAATGGTCTTGCAGTAGTTTATAACCATTCAACCTTGTCATCCCTTGTATTTCATACATTCAGGATTTCTACTACTGGGCCCAAAAATGTGAGGTCTGTCTCATGTTGGAATCTGAAATACATTTTGCCAAAATATTGTATTATAAGGGTTTTTACTTTTTTAAAGCAGTATGAATCAGTGTCATGTGATATCCTAAAAAACAAAAGCTCTGTACATATTCGCTACCCTTTTCAGAACTACTGTTGATGTAGAGCTACAAAGCAGACACTCTGCTTAATGTAAACACCAACCACTGGTGTCTCAGATTATAAATATCCATATATAAACATTGCATAGATATATATGCAAGGAAGACACTGTGGTTGGCTGAGAAGTAACAGCAGAGATGGCTTTTCTCTAATAGTATGGTCCATACTGTATCCAAAATAAATCTATGATCGTGCCTCATTAAAGTTTAGCCCACTCTGGAGAAATCTGTCAAATGCTTCACAGGAAGCAGTTAAAGTCACAGCAGGCAAACCAACATTCTCAATATGAGACAGTGGCTGTAAGATCTTCACTTGTATAAATCTTCTGTAAACGATTTAACTGGAACAACTGAAGAGGGGAAAACCAACAAAAGACAAACGGGGGCCCCTGAAATTCAGCATCCAAAACAAGAGGCGTTGCAGTAAATACTTTGAAAGGATGTCACCATTTGGTTAGTCAATTCTAAATGAAACCCTATTACTCTGTTTCCTAGGAAAAGATGGCACTGCTTAGCAGCTACGTGCTTTGGGCATGAAACAAAACCATCCTGCCTTGCTGGCTGATATGCTTCCTTTCTGTGCCTTTTTTCTTCCTTGTTAGGTTGTCTTTCTCTTCAGAGGCCTCTCCTTGCCTCTTTAATGCATTTTTCCCATTCTTCGCTCTTGGTTCATCCATGACCTTCCACACCCTTGACTCCTCCCTGCCACCAAGCCACAAATACCAACCCTCCTTATAGCTTAAGAAGACTTTTGCATTCCCAAAGCCATCAGTCAGCACTTGGTACACAGGTAACAGAGCTGCGCATCATTTTCTACTCTCTTCTGTCCACATACCTGATACAAAGGAGAGAGGAACACTATTCTTTCCAAGTACAGAAGAGAATGCAGTATAAAAAAACTTACTCTATTACAGATGACAACAGCAAGCCTAAGTTTTATAGCCATACGCTGGCTATACAGAGCTGTTCTATTGCTTTTAAGTAGTTCTCTCCAGGTGAAGGCCAGTCAGAATCATTGGCTTCAAGTAAATCTGCCTGTGGCTGCCTCACAAGGAAGGCTACATAATGCCATCACCCTGATGTACTGACTTCCCCATTTCTATCTGTTTATCAGAAATGTCAAAAAATAGAGCATTGTACCATTTGAGTATTTACAATATATACATTTGAGTAACTTAACAATATATACATTTAAATGCATAAGTCCCATTTAACATGATCATTTTAGTTGATTGATGTACCTTCCCTGTCTTCCTCTGATCCACTCAGATCTTTCTTTTCTTCCTGGAAGTCATAGGTATGTATAGCTTGATCTTCCTGAACTGGTTTACCAGATTTCCCAGGATGTTTTCTTCCTGAAGGTGCCATAATCAGAGTGTTTCTCTTCCCCTACCATAATAAATATAAAGTTGTAGCAATTAACTTTTTAAATGCTATTTTCAAAAGTCAAATTCTAGTGATGCTCATACTGACATGTTAACTACATCCTATGAAACTGTCTATCTATGAAATCTTTTAAGCACTTCAATGAATTATCTAGTAAGCCTGTTTTTTTAAAGAAAAGGTTAGACAAACATTTATTAAGGGTGGGCTGGGTATACTTTGAGCAAGTGGACGGACTATAGGATCTCTACATCTCCAGCCCTACCATACATCATTTTATTTATCTTTTAATATTCATTACATATTTCATGACATCAAGATTTGATTTCTGTCAAGGAACTGCATTGTTACTGAAAATGCGAAAACTTGGATAAGCTGGGAAGCACCTGGAGTTTATTCTGAACTGTATTCCTTCTGGAAATGAAAAGAAAAAAAAGTCAGGCTTATAGCCTTCCCAAACTTTGTATTCCTTTTCTGAATTGCCTTATTTTTTAGCTTTTATAATTTTGTAGTGTGGGGTTCTACTGTAGGTTGCAGAAACTTTTTTTTAAAAATTCCTTTTTAAATATACAGCATACACTTAGCATCTCCCTGTACTACCTTGCACATTAATTAAAATGGATTTACAAAATCATACAAAAAGTTATTTTAGGAAGGAATAAGGAATCAGAATCATAAAAAGTAGGGGATTGGAAGAGACCTCAGGAGGTCATCTGCCACCACCTCTTGATCAAGGTAGCACCATCCCTATCTAAATCATCCTAGACAATTGTTTGTCTAACCTGTTATGAAAAACAGGAGGAACAACTCGTGCACACAACTACCATGCATAATGCCCAACACACCAAGATCACCCTCTAACCTATCACAGGCAAAGCAGGAGAACTATGGTACTGTCAGTGTCTTGCCACTGAAAAAGTTACTAGTAATAAATAGTGTTACAAGTATGAATGCAATTAAACTTAAAACCTTTCAGTGCTTTATACTCAATAGAACAATAGACAAGTGCAAACATATGTGGCTGTACATGTTTTTCCCCACAACAACAGCAGAATTTGGCTATGGTAGTAGTTTAGCCTACAATAGTCATTTTCAAGCTCTCCTTTTCTGGTGTTTCCACGTTTAATTTGTGTTAAAAATTGCATTTGTTGGTTAAGGGAATAACTGCTTTAAAAAAAAAATCCCCAAAATAATGCAACCTATGTGACGTCATGCAGTATGAGAAGGATAAATAAAAACCTAGGCTCAAGGGAGTCATTCTTCCAAACCTGATTGCGCTGCGTAAGGTAGTCAGGCAGTGAACGGCTAGATGCAGGCACAGTTCAACACTCCGGCTTGCCACCAGCTATTCCCAAAGACCAAGCAGAGATACAATTGTAAATGCTGCTTTTTCCACTAAAAGAAACAATGTCAATGTCAGACAATGAGGATTAAAATGAACCCTTAAATAAAAGCAGCAGTATCAATAAATTACCTCTACATAAACCAAATGATATGCAGAGTATTTTAAACCTGTGGTACTTGACCTACGGTCTGCAGGTTGGATCCAGCCTGTGGTGTTGTGTCATCCCACCTGCAGGGCTCCCCCAGGTCCAGAAATTTGGCAGTGGGAAAGTGGCAGCAGCATCAGTTCCTGTGAGACAGCCGAGAGCTGCAGCAATTAATGCTGCCACCAACCGCTCCCTCACTGCCAAATTTCCATTCCTGGGGGATGACATAGCCCTGTGGGCTGGGTCATGCCAGTGCACAGGGAGGGCTGAGGGTAGTCCATGCAGCTGGACTGGCACTGGATCGCACCATAGCTGAATGCCAGGGCCCAGCTGGGCACGTGGGCCTATGGGTGGCAGTGGTGGGGGGTTGGGAGCGACCCCTGCAGCTCCCTGCCTGCTGCTGGAGCTGGGTTTGGCTCTGAGGGGGGATGGGGACAGACCCCCAAGGACATTTGACACCCTTGCTCCATCCAAGGGAGACTGGACAAGCTCTATCCAAGGATGGAAGATGCCTGCAAAGGGGGAAGGAGGTTGAACCTCAGGAGAGACCTGCAACCCAGGAGCCTGGGGTCTTCAAGCTGCGGGGTGGGAGTTGGGCAGAGGAAAAAGCATCTGGTTGAGGTTTTTTTTTCCTTCAAAACACCTAAAGACACCCCCCTCCCCGCCCCGGGGAGAGCCAGAGGCCTGTACTTCAGCTCCACACAGACCCCTGCTTCTCTCCTCCGCAGTGGTGGTGGTTGGGGGGGGGGAGGGGTCTCTAAGGTGAAAGCCCCTCGCTGTCCCCAGGCCCTCAGGGCACAACCGCAGCCCCAGGTCCCCCTGCAGCAGCACTGGGTCCCTCCCCGAGCAGTGAGGGGAGCAGGGCGGCTCTTCGCCCCGCGGCGCTGCCCGACGCCTCTGCCGAGGTAGGGAAGGAAGAAAGGCGGGAAAGCGGCGCCGGGGCTGGGCAGTGTCCGGCGGGCGGGGGGTGAGCCTCCCCTCCTCCGGGGCAGCGGCGGGGGTCAGGGACCCGCCTCTTTGCCGCAGAGAAAGACACCAGAGGATTCGGGGGTGGGGAAAAAACACGACAACAAAAAAAGGGAGAAAGATGTTGGGACGGGCTCTGGCTGGCTCCGCTTACGTGCACAGAAGCGGAAGAAGTCAGGTCCAAAACAGCCCCTGCGCCTGCCCCGGGGGAGAGCAGGGGCAGGCCGCCCCCGGTGGGGGCAGATGCTGGCAGGAGCAATGGTCCCTAGGGGCCGCAGGGCAGGTCTAGGTCGGAGATGAGGAAAAGCCCTCTCACGAGGAGGCGCTGGACCAGGCACTAGAGCGGGGGAGGGATCCTCAGCACGGCAGGTTTTGCGGACGAAGCTTTGACTGGGACGGTCCTGCTCTGAGCAGGGGGTCGGACCGCACCTCTTGGGCACGTCCCCGCGAAGGGCAACCTGTGTTTCCCCGGGTACACACGGCAGCGGGTGACGCATCTTCAGGGTAAACATGGTACTTCCCAAGCACCTGCGTGTAGCCATGTGTGGCACTGCAGACAGGGCCGCGGTGCCACACACCACACGTCCATCCTCGCTTGGATGCGCCCCCCCGTGCAGTCCCTCCCGGCCCTCACTTGCTCCCGCTTTGCGACCATTGAAGACCCAGTTTTGCCGCCGCATCGTGAGCGGTGGTGGAAGCTCCCGGAGCATCCTGACATCCCCCCGCCCCCAATGCTGCACGGGAAGCAGTGTCCGCTGGCAGGGCAGCATGGGGCAGGGGGCACTAGAGACGTCAGGGCCCTCAGGGGTGGCAGCCCCTGACCACTCTGCCTTGAGGTGGCCCCCACGTGCCCTTCCAGTCCAGCACCAGCC